CTGTTTTGATGAGAAAATAAATCATTTGTCAAAGACTAACTAATCGYGAGGGAGTTGAAATCGTTGGCCTATCAAAAATTCTCTAATCATGTCAACAAACTCGACTACATCGGCTGCATGGGTTTCTCATGTTAACTGTCGAAATTACGGCAAATTCTTGTCGTATGTAATTGTGATGGTGCTCACCATCCTTTTCCTGAACGGACCCATCATTTTCGTATTGGTTCGCAAACGTCGCCATCTTTCAGCTGGAAATACAATCATTCTTCATCTATCTGTTGCAGATTTCTTACYTTTCCTGGGRGYTAGTTGTAACAATTTCGTTTTGATGGCAGGAAGTCCTCTTGCAAGCACTTTCTTTTGCCAGCTTACCGCGTTTTTGGTTCGTTTTACTCACAGCTCTTCCATATATTTCATCACTATCATGGCAGCCTGTCGTTGCTACAGTGTGACCAAGCCTTTTCAATACCGCGCTAATGTGATGCTATCCAAGATCAACAAGATATGCTTTGGTGCTTGGTGTTTTGCTTTGGTTTTGGCCGTGATGCCTTTGATAGGATGGGGAGAATATGAGCCAGCAGCTTACGGACAGTGCCGATGTTCGTTTAACAGTTACAAGTACCCCTACAACTGGTTCATCTACTGTCTTTTGACCTATGTTATTCCAATTGTGCTTAATAGTGTGTTCTTAATTGCTATTACCAAAACGCTGCAGAGCCAAAGACACAAAATGAAAGCSATAAGAATAAACAGGGCTAGAAATGTATTTGCTTCTTTTAAGAAGTCCCAAATAGACGTGAACTTTCCTCGGGAGAAGGGTGTTTGTCATGTTATTGGATATAAAGAAGAGGTCGAAACCAGCTCATCAACGAAGTCGAAAGCATTTCAACGATGTGAAAACGTACAAGGCATTATAAAAAACATTGAAGTTCATCGAAATCCAAGTGATTCTCAGGAAAGTCCGACAATTTGCCTGGGAAATCAAGAAACAGGAGAAAAGGTGCCCAAAGTCAAAATTAGGAAAAGCAGAAGCAGTACAAGTTCAGAAAGCAACGATGGACACAATAAAACTGAGGAACGAAACGAAGAAAACTTTGAGAAGGCTGAAACTCGAAGTCGACAAGAATTCCTGCAGCCGCATCAAGAATCAGCCGGCTTGCACAATATCGCCGTTAAAAGTCGGAATGAAAACCAAGCAGATCTAGAAAGCAAAGACGAAAGAAGAAAAGGAGAAAACAAAAAGAAAGTAGAGACAATGACTCATTGTCAACTAGGATTTCAGCAACACCTAGAATCGATCACTTTCCATCCAAGAAATGCCATCAATGGCATCCGCAACGAAAACCATTTAGAAAGCATTGTTAAAGACGAAAGATGCAGTAGCGAAAACGAAGAAAACTTGGGGATCACCATGGATCAAGGAAATAATACGGTCACAAGAGCTCTAAAAACACAACATAAACAAGTGTCAAAGGACTTTAAAGTGCTTGTCATAGCTTTGGTATTTTCTTCTTTTGTTGTGTTATGCAGTCCAACTGCAGTCGTTAGAAGTTGGTATGCCCTGTCACCAGACGCTGTTCCTCTGAATGCATTTAATGTGGTAGACTTTCTTGGTGCAGTGAACTCATTGGCAAACCCATTTTTGTGTGCATTACTGAGCAAAGAAATCAGGTCAGATATCAAAAAACTATATTGTGCACTGTGGGCCATGATAATGTCTAACTAAGTTTGTAAAGGAGAGTAAAGTGGTGTCGTGTTTTGACAATTGTAACTCCTCGAGTACTACA